TCCCGTCCTCACCGCCGGCCGCGCCCGCAGCTCTCGGAATGCGTGTGCGCCCTGGATCGGGCACCACCGCTGAGCCCCTGCCATTCTTCATGCTGAGGCAGGATCTAGGCTGGCCTAGAACTTCAAGTCCTCCTGCTCCAGTCTTCCAAGTTGCTGGAGGTACAGGCGTGTGCCCCCACTCCCAGCCTATCCTATGAATTCTTAATTTCAGATACTGAATTCTGCTTTAAAAATCACAATTCTCTTGAAACCCTGACATTCTTTTTTTTTTTGGTACCGGGGATCGAACTTGGGTCCCTGCGCTTGCAAGGCAGATGGCGGAACCACTGAGCTAAATCCCGGGCCCAACCCTGAGATTCTTTTAGCCTGTCCTGCCCATCCTCTCCTCTTTCGGGGATGCTGGAGGCCCCGTGTGGCAGTCTGCACTGTCTATCACAGTCCCCGGCCGGGCTCAGGCTCAGGCCGCAGCGAGTGGAAACGTGTCCTCTCTCTCCAAAGACAGCTAAGGCCTGGCTTCCACGGCGGTGGACTCCTCCAGCAAGCAAACTGACCCTGGAGAACCGCAGTATCCGTGGAGGCTTCGCTTCGCTTCACACGCAGGGTCCGTACCAGCTCTTCCCTCAGAAGACTGGAGCCTGCTGCAGTCCCTGGAGAATGTGGCGCCCCACCTGTGCGCAGCGGGGCTCTTCCCAGTGGGTCTTGCCTTGCAGGGCTTGCCCCTCAAGTCCCAGCCACTGTGATCACCCTGAGAACCCGGGGTCAACACAGCAATCCAGCTGAGCACCGCCCACTCGGCTGCATCCTGCTCTGCTGTCTGGAAATGCGCCTGGGCCCACCAGGGGCTGCAGCAGCTCCCTGCCTGCTGCACCAGCCACGCAGGATATGTGTGGGCCTCAGTGAGTGTCCGGGGTTGGGGGGACCCTGGCCTTCACACTGAGCTATATACCCAGCCCTTCTCTTCTTTTCTTTTGAGACAGGGTCTTGCTAAGATGCCCAGGCTGGGCTTGAACTTGGAGATCCTCCTGCCTCAGCCTCCCAGAGAGCTAGGATTACAAGTGTGTGGCCACACACCTGGCTGGGTTTTGTTTTATGCGAGGCTGACAGTTTTTTTGTTTTGTTTTTTTTAGATTGAATTTTTTAATGGTTTGGGGGGGGTGGCAGCTTTTCAAATAGTTTTTTTTTTCCCCAGAGGGTAAGTCCAACACTAGCTAGCCATGACTGAAACTAGAAATTCAGAGAGTGTTCTTCAGGTACATTTCTTTAAAACAAACGAATGCTTTTTTTCTTATTAGCACCTGACAAACTGACAATGATCAAAATTACACCATACATTTAAAATGCAAGCTAAATAAATAAATCGACATTCCCACAGTGAGTAATCTTTATCTCCATAAACACCCTCTGCTGCTGTCTTGGCAATCCACACTGGCTGTGAGGCCTCCGCCGTGCTTTATGATGAAGGCGCAGACACAGAGCCAAAGGGAACTTGCAAACAGGAGTGAGTTCAGCGCAGTTAACAGACCTATCAGAGGACAGTCTGTTCACTACTGAAATTCTGTTTTCAGGAGAGATTAATGTTACATGTTGATAATTTTTAAAAACTCCTGCAGGCCAATCCCTGAGCCACAGTATTTTAGGGACATGTTTCAGTAAACTGGTGACAGAGTTAAGAGGTGAGGCCAGTGAGGAGCACGCGAAGGTCCGGGCTGGTGTGGAGGTGGGAAGAGGCGCCCCTGCTCTCGGAACACCTCCCACCTTCATCTCACCCACCGCTCCCATCCCCCGCTTCTCTGGAACCCTCTAGAACCTGAAGATGTTTCCAGAAATTAGCCAAACCAAGAGCCCCAGCATCTCCGCAGTGCAGCCCCAGTATGGGTCCCTGAGACGTCCTGGGCCCAGAGGATCCACCTGCGCCTCTCGCGCTAGCACACTTGGGCAGGAACGTGGTCCGGGAGAGCGACGCAAACAGACCCCGTGTGACTCAGACGAGAAGCCACAACCTGGCTGCGGGCACAGCACACCTGCCACAGAAACCTGTGCTTCATCCTCATCGAGTTAGAGGGCAGCAGGAAGGCGTGGTGGGACGGTAGCTCAGTGTTACGAGTACCTGCCGGGAATAAGAAAGGGCAGTGGCCTCTCTGGCTCCACAAAAACTAAACACGGAATCCCACCTCCTCTGTCTTCAAGCTCGCTCCCATCCCAGGGTCTGAGCACGGGAGGCGAGCGCAGGAAGAATGGACGGGTGGTGGGGACAGGGAAGTGTGGCCTTTCCCAGAGAAGGGCTTCCTGGCTGGAAGCAACTTTCGCCCACACATGCCCACCCTGCTCGCTGGGGCCACCCTGTGGCCGTCCTCAGCTCTCCGCTGCCTCTGCCTTGAGCACCTGGGGACTGAGCTCACAGGCCCCTCCTCTGAGTGAGCCAGCGGATGGTGACTGAGACTGCCCCACTACGACAGGACACCAAACACAAGCTGCTGTTTCCAACTAGGCACGGCGGGGCATGCCCGAAGTCCCCACACTCTGGGAAGCTGAGGCAGGAGGATCACAAGTTCCAGCCCAGACCTGGCAACTTAATGACTTAGCAAGACCGTGTCTCAAAATGAAACATAAAAAAGGTCTGGTGATGTAGCTTAGATTGAAGGTCCTGGTTTCAGCCCAGGGTGTGTGTGTGTGTGTGTGTGTGTGTGAAGGGACACGCGTTCATAGTGCCACGGCTTGGCTTGGTCCTCAGTTCTTTCCAGAAGGGCACTGGGCCACAGCTCTGTGGCTCTGTGTGGCACAGGCAGAGGCGTGTCATCCTGCCTCACCAGCTGGGCACCGACATGGGCAGGGGACCCTCTGTCCTGGCTCCCAACACCTGGGGAGGGGGAAGTCACCAGCACCTGGACGCCTAAGCCCTGGCCACTGCAGCAAGGCAGACAAGGCTACCTGACCAAAACTGGGCATGGTGGTGCACGCTTGTGATCCCAGCCCTCAGGAGGCTGAGGTCAGAGGATCGCTGTGAGTTCAAGGCCAGCCTGGGCTACGTAGTGAGTTCAAAGCTGGCCTGGACTACACAGCAAGACCCTCTCAAAACAAACAGAAAGAATATCTAGGGTTTGGGGATTTAACTCAGTGGCACTGCGCCCCTTCAAGCCCGAGGTCCTGAGTTTGATCCCAGTACCAGAAAAAAATAAAAATAAAAAAACGAATATCTGACCCAGTTCATAGACAAAAGGCACTAGAGGGCTGTCCTTCCAGAGGCCTACTGTAAGCAGCAAAGCATATATCGTCCCTGTGGGCCCTCTGGATAGAGCTGTCAGCCTAAGAGGGTAAATGGCTCAGCAGGACCACCCAGGCCCTGGGAGGGGCCCTGGCACAGGGCCAGAAGAAGGCCCCCTGGGTGTCCCGGACAGGACCGGCCAGGGCAAGCAGAGAAGACTGTGCTGCTCAGGTGCTTGGATCACAAGAGCCATCAATCCAAAACCAGAGACAGGGGACTCGTGAGGATCAGGAAGACCTGCATTCCCACTCACCGGCCCCCACCCAGCAGCTGCAAAGACACCCGGCACCTACCACCTGGAGAGGGAGGCTGGTGGTAAGTCCACCAAGCAGAACCCACCTCATGGTGAGCCTAGCTCCCCATGTGCCCATCACATCAGACTTCACGGAAGAAAGGTGTGAACAGAAGGCCAGCACCCAAGCCACACTCTTAGAAAGGCCCTTGCAGGAAGAGCCTCTCCTTAACTTCAAGGCCTGACATGTAGGTAGGCTCTCCCTGAGGATTCCACTTTTTCAGAAGGTCTTCCCTTCACAGCAGCGGACTAGGCAGGAGGGCTCCACCGGGCAGGAAGATTAGGAACACACAGGGCCCTACACAGGCAAAATCTGCTCAGGACACCTACTACTCTGAGTTAGGAACTGGTGGGGTTTTTATGGCTTTGAGGGGAGGGGTTGAGACAGGATTTCACTGTATAGTCCAAGCTGGTCTATGTAGTCTAGACTGGCCTCAAACTTGTGGCAATCCTCCTGCCTCAGCCTTCTGAGTGTTGGGATTACAGGCGTGTGGCACCATGCCTGTCTAGGAACTCGATTTTTTTTTTCTTTTTTTTTGGTACCAGAGATCGAACTTGGGTCCTTGCACTTTCGAGGCAAATAGCAGAACCACGGAGCTAAATCCTTGGCCCTAGGAACTAAGATTTTTTAACTCATCCTGTACAAATCAAATGTCATTTGTTGGGGGAGAAAAAACTCTCAAAACAAGGTTAGAGAATTACACATACATATGTACATCTTACTATGTTGCCCAGGCTGGTTTGAAACTCAAAAGCTTAAATGATCCTCCTGCCTCAGCCTAAGGCGTCGCCTTAAGGAGCCAAGGCAGGGAACCAGTAGGTCTGATGGAGTGGGCTGTCCCGCCGCGGCTGGGGAAGGGGTTTCCAGCCAGTGCACGGCTGCGGTGACCCTCAGCACTTGGTCAGTGCATTTGGTGCCGTGTGCCTTAGTCTCCGGGCTGTACAGCCTCCTGCACCCGTGCCGGCCGGGCTGCCTTCCATCTGCTCAGGTGAATCTCTGTGTTTGCACTTCTGGTCCCACAAGGGCCATCAGGTGTCCACGTCCAGGACAGACACACCTTGCGTGACAGAGCTATGTTTTGAGCTGTTAATGAGACTCTTCATGTTTCTATTCAGTAAACAACAACTACGAAAAGATTTACAAATTAACAAAAGTAAAAAAGAACCATGTTAACCTGAATCAAAGGAGGAAAAAAGCCTTCTGATGAAGCAATCAGAAGGCTGATGAGGCAGTGACGAAACCACCATTTGCTGAACTCGTAGCCAAGCCAGTATTATTGGTCTTTGAAAACAAAGACATCAATTCCACTTTTCCACGATGTTCCACAGCCATCTGGAAAGGGACACCAAGGATCAGCTGTGCTATACTGTTTGCACACTGCCTGCCAGGCCCAGACCACACATACAACACAGCGCACAAGTGACCAAGGAGCATCAGCCTGCAGCTGGGCCCCAGGCTGAGTGCCCTGTACTGAAAAGCAGCTGTCAAGCCCGGTGGCAAGGAACCACACGGTCCCCCTTCACCAGCGATGTCACCTGCTGGGATGTGTGCTCTGCTGTACTGATCAAAGTCTCCGCCTTAGACCCGGCTCATCAAGGAGCAACCTGCATGTGGAGTCACAAAGCCGATGCAAAGCCAAGCCTGGGCCCAGCTGCCAAGACACAGGGATCTCATCTTCACCTGAGCTGAGGCTGGCATTCCCAGCTTCTCCATGAAGGGCACAAGGAAAGCGGCCACACCACGCACCAGCCATGCAGAATCTCCTTTTCTCCAAACCCACTGAGCCCCCCAGCTGCACAGCCCAACTGCTCTGGAGGAGACAGCGGCACACGACGCCCCTCCCAGGCACCTGCGGCTCAGGTGCACTTCCAGAATGCACACGCGGCGAGGGGCGGAGCTGGTGTGGGGCGCACAGGAGGGTCTGCAAACCCCAGGTGACCCCACCACCACAGCCTGGTCCGAGCTTCTGGACAGCGGAGGAGCAAACACCCTCCTGCCAGCCAGGTGCTTCCAGGAGGAGGAGCAGGAGACGGACCGGGCCAAGCTCTGGCCTGATGCTGCTTCTCATGCAGACCTCAGCAGGCCTCATGCTCCAGGGCCAACTGCTGCCATGGTCTGTGACACCCGTGCACCCCCACCACCGTGCGTCACGGTGACCCCTCGCCCCGGCTGCAGCTCCTCCGCCACCCAGTGCTGCCATGAAGCATGGGCCCCACCGATCCATCAGGGAGGGCACTTGCTGCACAGAGGGGGCCACAAAATCCGGGAAGCAAGGGCTTATTTCTGGATTCTTCCTGTCTTCCTGTCAGAAACAGGCTGATGTCACGCAGGATGTCAGAAAATCATGTTTTAAAGTAACCCACTCCCCTGGGGAGTTCCATGGCCTCTCTGCCCACCAGGCAAGTTCGCCGCCCACACATGGCCAAAGTCACCCTGTCCGAGCCTCGCCAGGGGAAGACTGCCAAGAGCTAACCCTATTTATGAAAAGGGCAAATTCTTACAAGAGTAGAAAATTTAGAATATTAAAAATAGAGAGGTTAAAGTATTATAGAAATAACGAATTACCAAAACCCGCTAGCTGACTTCACCTGGAATTAGTCAGATGGCCTGAAAGTAGAACACAATGGAGCTTTATTTCCCGGCCCATGGCTCCCTCTCTGGAGTTCAGAGGCCTGTGACGTGAGCCCAGACTCCGCAGCACACCAGGACAGCATGGCCTGTGGCCCAGCCCCAATTCAAGACATGGTAAATTGCACGCAGCGGCACACTGGCACAGGAAGAGACTGAAAAGGTGCCAAGCAAGGTGCCATCGATGGAGTCAGGTCCAGCCCACGACCCAGCATAGCTCCGCCTGCTGCAAGCAGCACCAGGAGGCAGGGTCTGGCGCTGGGGAGCCCAGCACCAGGACGCACAGGGCAGTGATGTGCGGCCCGACGCACACAGAAGAGCCAGCATGTGCAGCTCTGACCCCGTGTACCACACGGTGCCCAGCACAAATGCATCGAAGGACAGCGCCTATGTCCAAGGTGAGGGCTGCCAGATGCAGAAACAACAGGAAAAGCACAAAGAAATAATTTCCCTTATTCCCAGCCATTTCCAACAACAAGGTCTAAGTCAAGAATGAGTCACCAGTGGACCCCACCCCGAAGGAGTCTGCTCTGCGGATGTCAGGGGGCTGAGAACGCCAAGGCTGAGAAGAGCCCGGGCCTGCAGCGGGCAGCAGGGGACACAGGCCTCATTGCTGGGGGACCCCTGCCACCTTCCACACGACCCGTGGATCTCAGCCACTCCCAGAACCCCCTGCTCTGTGAATTCCAGGCAGCCAAATACCCTGGCACCACTTCCAAGAGCTGCCCAGGACCCTGTGAGCTTGGAAAGTCCAGCATTACCACCCTCAAGTGCAGTTCTGCCTGAGAGGGGAGCCAACATTCCAAAGCATGTCACAGGTACTTGTCTGAACTGAACAACGTTCTAACAATGCTGCTTCATTTTAAATTCGTAACAGCCGTTACGTGGCACTCTTGCCACTTCTCAGATTTGGGAAATGAGGCCTGAAGATGTTCTTCCGTCGTGCCTGGGGTCAGGGCCCACAGCCTGTGAAATACTCATCCGCCAGGCGTGTCCTGCCCACCGGCAGCAGCCCTTAACCAAACACAGGGAGATGAAGAGAATATAAACACCAGTTTTCACTTTTAGTCTTTATTACCCGTAAGCAATTCGCATAACTCCTCACACCACTACAAAATCTCAAAAGAATATTTTAGAGCTCATAAAAAAAAAATTGTAAAAATATTGTCTTTTAAAACAGAATGAAAACCAAAACAAAGACACATGTCCCAAAGCCCCACATCAGATGACTGGCGGTGCAGGACAAGGCTACAACACTGGCCAATGTGAGGCCCCCCGGGCGCCCCCGTGTGGGGTGCCCCACAGAGAGGAACACGGGGCTCATCCACGAGCCCACACTGAGCCCCAGCTAAACGGAGCTCCTGCCAACGCCAGGGCCAGGTCTGCCCGGGGCCAGGCCCCTCCCTGGCACTGCGCAGCCCGGCCAGGGCCCCGCGCCTGTGACCAGGGAAGCAGCTTGCCCTCCTTAGCTCAGAGCCAGCGCCTCTTCAGAGAGCCAGTGGCACAGCAGCAGCGCAGTGCTCTGTCATCTGGATCTGGGCAGGGGACTCGCAGGTTCTGAAGGCGGCACCCAACTGCCCTCCAAAGCTCACGTGTGCCCAGCAGAACAAAGCGAGCCCAGGCACGCCAATGTGAGTGCGTTTGCGCCTTCCTCCGCACAGAGGCTCCGCACAAAGCCCAGGCCGGGCGGCCGGCAGGGGGAGCCGTGACCATCCCCTCCACACAAAGACCCTCTGTCTCCTACAGCTGGCTCAGACAGCTCCAGGTTTCAGGTCTTATTTATCACTTGTGTGCACTTTTCAGCTCAGTGGGTTTGAGGTTCAGATGCCTCGAATGTGAGTATGAAACAGTCCCACAAAGCACCCCGTTCCCACCTACGCCTGACTACACACGCCTCCTGCCCGGCTCCCTCCCTGCCAAGCGAGCCCAGCACGATCCTGGGCCTTGAGGACCTGGACGGTGGCTGCTACCCACAGCCTGCCCACCGGGCGGATGGGCTACAGCCTCCTCCTCAGGGTCTGAGACGGGAGACCTAATGGTGGAAATCTGGACACAGAGACACACAGGGACTACACTTACGGGACAAGGAGTGGGCGCCTTTGGGCAGGTACTCGAACAGCAGGGAGCCGTCATCTCCAAGCATGTCGGCCTTGAGAGACAGCAGGCTGTTCTTACTCATGAGAGCTGCACGGAGGCTGGCCACCGCGGTGGCCTGGTGCAGGGCCTCGTCCTTCTCCGGGGTGAGCGGCGGGCCCAGGAAGCTGGCTTCTCCTCCCAGCAGACCCTCGTCGACATGTGCATAGAGCTCGGCCCGCTCACCTCGGCTGTCCGAGCCGCTAGCCTCGGTGATGCTCAGGTCTGCATCTGGGGAGGGAGACACAGGAGAGAACACTCAGGTCGCTTCAGGGCTCCACGGGGAAGTGCAGCGATGTGGTGTGAGGGCAACAGCTTCCTAGCCGCCCTGCAGCTTCCTGTAGAGCAGCCTGGCCCCAGTCTACCCAGAGCAGCAGGGCATCTGGTCCTGCAACATCCCTCCGTAGGCAGAGCAGCCACAGGCCTCAGAGCAAGGTGGAGGGTCACCCACCCTGGCCAGGAGCTGAAGACAGGGTCCCAGGTGCCTCCCCAGGCCGAGGCTCTTGAGACTGCAGGACTTCCACCTTTTTCTTTTTCTGTGCTGTTGTATTTTCATTTTTGTTTTGTGGTAGTTTGGGGTTTGTCTGTTTGTTTTTTACAGGATCTCACTAAGTCGTTGAATTCCCAGGCTAGGCTTGAACTTGAAAGCCTCCTGCCTCAGAATGCTGGGACTGTAGGCATACAACACTACATCTGGCTGGACTTTTTTACCTTTCAAGGAAGAAACAGCTAATGTGTATCAATGACTTACCTGAGCTAAAACTGTAAAACTTTCAGGAAGATACTTCTATGACCTTAAATCTGGCAGTAGATTCCTAGATACAATACCAGAGCACAAGAAACGGAACAGAAAACAGAAAAGCCGGATTTAACCATAATTAAAACCTTCTGTGCTGTTAAAAACACTCTCAAGGAACCAGGGATTTAGCTCAGTGGTTCCACTGCCTGCCTCGCAAGCACAAGGACCCAAGTTTGGTCCCTGGTACCAAAAAACAAAAACAAAGAAACAAACAAAAGCACTCTTAAGAAAGTGAGAAGACAATCTATAGAATGGAAGAAAACATTTGCAGGCCATATATCTGATAAGAGATCCTGTCCACACTATATCCTCTTACAACTTAATAATAAAAACACAATATAAAAATAGGCAGTAGACCTGATTATAGACATTTATCCAAAGATATGCAAACAGCCAAGAAGCACATGAAAAGATGCCCGACATCACTAGTTGCCAGAGAAATGCAAATCAAAATCATAATGAGATACAACTTCACAGCCATAAGGATGGCTACCACCAAGAAACCAATAACCAACAGTGCTGGCAAGGCCACAGAGAAACCAGACCTCGTGGGAAGCTGCAGCTGTGATCTGCGCGCTGCTGTGGAGGGGCTGGCAGCTCCCAAAGTGATCCACTACAGTACCTGCAGCCCAGTGGACTAGAACAGCTGGTCTCAGGATTCCTTTCCTTCAGATGAGAAGCGGGCATCTGCCTGAGCTCAGTGCTGCTCCCAAGCTGCTTGTGGAGGAGACAGACGCACCCAGGCTGGGAGGGAAGTGCACCTCACAGGCAGGCAGGCATAAGTGCCAATCCTTCCGTCTGCTCAGGCCTTCTAGAAACAGCTGGCATTTAGAAGAAGGAGTTTATGAGCAGTGATTTCGGGAAGAAAATTCCAAAAGCAGAACCGGAAGTTGAAGGCAGTCAATCCATGTGCAGAGTTCAGCATTACATAGGACCGCAGGATGCACTTTTATCATTGTCATGCAAAAGCCAACACAGCACAGGGTGTGGTGGTAGATGCCCGTAATCCCAGCACCAGGGAGGCTGAGGCAGAGAGCCTGCTGCCAGCATGGGCTATGTGGGGAGTTCAAGGCCTACCTGAACTATATAGTGAGACCGTGTCTCAAAACGCCAAATATCAATAAATAAGCTGAGTGACGGGCCCAAGGTTTCTGTATTCCCTGAGGCTTATTCCAGCCCTAATGGAGTCTACTAGCAGCCCTATTCAGCATGCCCATCACAGGGCCACTTCCTGCACACGAACACCTGCAGCATCGAAAGCTGTCTGAGCCCCCACTGACCACCCCAGGTGAGTCCTGGGCAAGGACCAAGGGCAGTCTCAGCAACCATGTCCCCAGCTCAGCCCTCTCCGGAAAGAAGGCTCTGGAAGAAAGGTCACACTTAGGGGGCCAGAGTGCTAAACTCAGCCAACTTTGATCAGCACTGACCTGCCCTCCTCACAATTACTCCGCACACCAAATGCTCATCCCCTCCTGAAAAACAGGCTGGGTTTTAAAAATGCACTGGCACTGGCACGAGGGTAAATTAACAAGTTCTCTGGCACACACCTGTAATCCTAGCACTTGGGAGGCTGAGGCAGGAGGATCGCTGTGAGTTCAAGACCAGCCTGGGCTACACAGTGAGTTCCAGGGCAGTCTGAACTACACAGTGAGACCCTGTCTCAAAACACACACACACAGACACACACACATGAGAGCATAACACACTGTGCACAAATATACACACAGGCATATGCCCACAATTATGTTTATGTTCACACAAGTGCACACATGTACACACAAAAGGTCATGCAGAATTCAAACTCACACACACACACCTTTGCTCAGGGTGTCCACGGCAATTCCTGACCCTGCTCAGTTCTTGGCATTAGTCACACCACACCATCTCCACTGTTAATGCCTGTCTCTCCCCAGAACGGCTGACAGCATTCTGTTATGTTTTTCCAGGGCAGGGCAGGGGGGGTCACTGTGACTCTAAGTGCCTGGATCATGGCCTTAGTGCATTTTTAAAAACATTGAGAGGCAGGCGTGGTGGCGCATGCATGTAATCCCAGCACTCGGGAGGCTGAGGCAGGAGGATCGCTGTGGGTTTGAGACCAGCCTGGGCTGCACAGTGAGCTCCAGGTCAGTCTCAACTATGTAGTGAGACCCTGTCTCAAAAACAAACAAACAAACAAATCAAAAAAAAAAAAAATTGACAGAGTCTATTTGAAAAAGTAAAAGTGAAGAATCCAGGAGAAACTGGCTCTGAAGAGCTAGCTTAGGCTGAGGAAAAGAAGAAACAGCACCTTCTGGAGGACATGGGCAGGACATCAAGAGGAAAAAGCCACCACGGCCTCGCATGCTGTTTTTGAATGAACAAGTGAAAGAACAGAAGGGAAGGACGTCACACAGACAAATGCGTCTTTCTATACGCTGTTCTCATGACGGGGGCCAGCACCCAAGGCCTGACTGCTCTGACAGCAGATGGCCTCCAGCCACACTGAAGCCAGAGTCTGGGGCTCTGCCCACGCACCAGCAGTGGCTTCAGGCCCGGTGCTGTCCTCCGCATCCATCCTCCGTCTGAGAGACATCACAGTGCCTGGAGCCCCAGACCCAGCACACCCCTGAGCAGTCTGGGGGTCACGCGCACGGGCGAGGCTGGCCTCGGACACCCTGACCCCCAGGACACCCCTGCCTCTCTCCTGGCACCACACCCACCGCTCCCACGCCTGTCCTGCCCTGATCCGCACAGCCTGGGCCTGCTGAGCCCTCCTCAGTCCCTGCAGCCCTGCCTGCCCTCAGGAGGGTCATCTTCCCTGGGGAGAGGACAGCCCCAGCTCCCTCCACACTCCCAGGGCTGGCAGAATTGTGTGGTGCAAACACAGAATTAGCAGGAAGTGTCGCGCTCGCCAAGTCTCCGGGTGCGGACAGAAGAGGAGGTGACGGCGCGAAGCCCCGAGGTGTGAGCAGCTCCCCCAGGGCCGCCTCCTAACGCGAGGGCAGCAAGACGTCACCACACACTGTTCACAGCCACGCGCAGGGCACTGCGGGAGCTCGACCATGGGGCCGGACGTTGACGCCCAGTGTCTACACGAGGTGGCCCGAAGTCAAGGTCTTCTTCCTGTGAAGACGCCAGGGAGGCTCCGTGACACGTGCAAAGAGCACCGCAAGAAGTAAATCTTCCAGAGACAACCAGACTGCAAAGTGAGGGGCAGCACGGGGTCTAAAGTGATCGTAGCACAGGAAGGACGTGCAAAATCACAAGAGCGACTCCTGGGCCCGGGGAGGGAGGTGACAAGGATGCACTGAAAGCCTGGGGCTACGCAGGGCTGGAGCAGGCCTTGGTCTGTGGGTCCCCAGGCCTCCCTGACGGGCGGCAGACCTGCGGGCCAAGGCGAACGGCCAGGCGGCCTCCATCTGAGCGGGGCTCTGGACTCCTCTCACAGGCAGAGCACGCCCTCCCGGGTGCAGCCCAGCCAGGCCTCCGCCACCAGCCTGTAGAATAGACAGCTCAAGAACAAGGCTGACAGACACGCGTCCCCCAGAACCTCACCTGCTCCTTTTGTAAATGCTTAAACTTCAGTCCACGCTTTGCTGTCCGAGTTGAAATCAAGTTTCCTCATTTGTAGTTATGAAAATTTTTTCACACCATCTAAGAAATCCCCTTTGATTCTTATGGATGCAGTTGTCCCTCAGGTCCAGGGGACTGGATGTCAGCATCCCGAGGGTGGGAAACTCACCGACACCCAGCCTTTATACAACTGGCAGGGTGGTGAATGGCACAGCCGCTTGCGTTCTCGATCTCCAGATGACTTACCACACCTAACACAGTGGAGACGCTGTGTAAACAGCCGCTACAGGAAGCAGTTTGGGGAATGATTACAGGAGAAAGTCCATACATGTGCAGTACAGATGAATTTTTCTCTTTTGAATGCTTCTACTCTGCGGCTGAACAGGTAGGTATGGAACACACAGATACAAACAGGTGTACAGATAGTGGGTTATCCAGTGGTTCAATGGATAAAAGACAGGGCTGATTTTGGCAAATGACATTGGAACAACCGGGCAACCACATGCTAAAAGTACACCTTACACCAACCTCATTCATCCCTTGCATGAAAACCGACTTAAATCACAGGTATGTGTGGCACTCAAGTGTGTGAGACATAAGGAAGAGAACACAGGAGACAGTCTTTATGGACCAAAGACAACAAATCAGAGCAGACAAGAGCTGCCACACAGACCTCCACGTAGTTAAAACTGTATGCTCCTGAGGTACACTGTTAGATGAAAACAGAGCTAGAGACAGAGAGAGAGAAAACTCCCAAACACACCTGACAAAGCACTGGAACTAGGGTGCACAAAAATCATCACAACTCAGCTGGGCACAAGACAAACACCATGCTCTCAGTTACTCAAAAGGCTGAGGCAGGAAGAGCACAAATTTGAAG